GGCGGCGACAGGGGGCCGGAGGCCGGGCCTGAGTGGTACCGGGCCACGACCTTCCGTCCGGCGTTTCCGCGGCTCTGGCCGGTCGCACCTCCCGCCAGCAGGTGCTGGGGCTGCTCCATGTGTGCAGCTCACACCCGCTCCGTGGCCCTCGAGTTAAACTCTCAGGTGGCGCAGCGCCGTGTCTACACGGGCACAACACACACGGCTGGTAGCTCCAAACCTTTCGTTTTTCAGTGCTGGCTGTTTCGTGGTAGTCTGGGGTTTTTTTCTGTGACGGGTGGTGGTGGGGGTTTTGTCTTTTGTTTGTGGTTTTGGTTTTTATATAGGGCCTATAGTTACAGCTAAATAGATTGTTTTAAAATGAATTTTCAAGGATTGTAGTCTTGTTCTCTGGCAAGAGTGTTACACTCTTCTCTCCTGTTGTTCTTTCTGAAACCACAACTACACACAATATTGTAGGCTATGCTGTGTTTTTTCCCCCCCGGTTCTCAGTTTGCTAATAAAGACATTGAACAATCATGATCCTGCTTTCTCCCTTCAAGCCAAGCTCCTCCAGTCCCAATTTCCCCACCACTGCAGTAACTCAACAGCAGAATGGAACCAGTCTGTAACTGGATTGAGCTGAGCTCAAGCTTGCTTTCCCTTTCCTCTTTATGTGAAAAGCTTATTAAATACTTTCTGCATTTCCTAATTATGCTAGAGGACCCCCCAGCAATCCTTTTCCTGGAATCAGAGCTCAGAGCAGCCAGGGGTGCCTGCTCCCCACTGCTCCCACCACTACCCCAGAACCAGCTGCTGCTTCCTCCCCACACAGCTCTGCTGGGGCCAGGCACTGTGGGGCCAGGGCTTTCCCAGAGCCAGTTTCAGAGGGGGTCAGTGGGGGGTGCATTAGTGACAGGGGAGGCCCAGGCTGGGCTCCTGCTGTCCCTTGTATCTCACTGTGTCCCAAAGAGGTGACTGCTCTTACACAGACCCAAATACAACCCAGCACTTTATTAAAGGAAGCAGCTTTTTTCCTGCTGCCAAGTCCATTCCAAGCACCTCAAATGCAGTGGTGCCCATTACAGCAAGAGGCACATGGTGCCAATGCTCTCGCCAGGACAAACATGGAAGCCACCAGCTCCCGCGTAGGACAGGGCTCCACACGATAAGTAGCAAGCAGCAGTCCAGGCTTTCGGCAGCTGCTGAGAGCCATTCGGTCCTCAGTGTCACACTTCCAGACCACTGAGGGGGGACTCTCCAGACCCTTCCCACCTTCCCATTTGCAGCAGGTACAGAGCCTGTGGCTGCAATGTAGAGCTCTGAACTTGCCTGACCTATGGACCAGTTAAACCATAGCAGCAGCATGCCTGCCCCGAGTTTGTTTTTCAAACCTGTTCCCAGGCTTCCAAATGCTTTAAAACACTGCCTGGACAATTAGCACTCACGTGTGAGCTGTTACAGTAAAATGTAATTGTTACCATACCACAGACAGGCAAATTTGGGGAAAACAATCTATAAATTAGTCTAGGTAAGTAACATTACTCTTAAAACATCTAACTTTAGTTAGTCATATAAAATATTTGGAGTATGGCTACAAACCAGTTAGGTAACACAGGGTATTGGTTCCCTTAACTGTTACATTATCTGAGCATTTCTTTGCAAGATACCTGTACCATAACTATGGAGACTGGAATTAAGGCTAGTTTAACAAGTCTCTCTGTTGCCCTGTGCTGCTCTTCACAGGGAGGGGAGGGGGGCAGGAGTTACTCTGGAAAATTAAAATACATTTAGAACGGGCTGAACTTGTCTGCTTCCCACATAATGGGCGAGTTCAGTTCAAGCAAGTCAGTGCACAGAAAGACCAGAGAACAAGGGGAGAGAAGCACACAGTGAAAAGTCAGTTTAATGAAATCTTGCATGACAAATTATGGCAATTATCATAACTGGAATTCCTAAAACTAGAGAAGATTACGGGGAAACACGGTAAGTTTTCAAATATGTAACATGTTTCTAGAAAGGAAATAAACCGTTTCCTACACTCACTGGGAGAACGAGGCCAAACTGCAGGAGGGGACGCACGTGGAGCAGTCGTTCAGTGGCAGCAGCACCCAAGCACCAGAATCAATGCCCCAGCGACGCAGAAGCATCACAAAGCTGGAGGTTTCTGTTCCTGCAGGTGTGGGACAGCTCGGTACCTGCCCAGCCTGGCTCCAGTTGAGGACTGCGAGGACTCCGTTATTAGAGCCTTCCCTGCCCTGATGTAGCGCATCACGCACTGGGCCACAGAAAGATGCTGTAACTACATGTTTTCTTACCTTAGCATTTGAATTTCACAAGTGTAATCTTATTTTTAATTTTACAGACGAGAGATTTACTTCTGGTTTTAGTATCACCCGCATTCTTGCAACATTTTCCCCAACAGATGTGCTCAACTTTATTACACTCTTCAGTATCTTTTTTTTCCCTGGAAAATGCGAAAGGCTGTGCCCACATCAGTCAGCAGCTACAACAAGCTATACAGTAACTGCTAACAACAACCGTACATTAACAGACCTAGGAGCAAAGCAGCAGCAGGAGGGAAGTGCAAGGGGAATCATCAGCAGCCTCTGCCCAGCACAGGAAACAACACAGGGCATAGGGAGTTTTGCCTGCTTCATTTCTGATAGAAGCTTTAACATCGTTCCCACATACATTTTTATGACAGTCTTACAGAAATCTCTCAGAACATATGGGCATTGCCTGGTTTTACCTGTCACAAGTTTACTAAGGCCAAAAAGCAGAGTGAAATAAGAGCTTTGCTTTGGCCTAACCACATCTCACTGGGCAGGGCCTGACCTCAATCTATGGCCGATTTCCTTCAGTCCTTCACACTCATTTTCCTTGGCACTATAAACAAATACACAAAGCTTCCAGCTGAAATGAAATCTGTATCAGTAATCAGTTACCAGATTTTTTCAGAATGCTGCAGGTGATTGCGTGCCACCACTAACCCCAGCAAAGCAAGCACACTTACTCTGATTTGTTGGTTGGTTGTTTTTTTGAATCTTCAAGCACCAGTAATTGCATTTTGGGTAAAGCACCTCCAAGTGAGACTCTGCATAGACCCGTGAGTTTGGGGCCAGAAAATAACACCCATTTCTCACATAGGCCCTGCTGACCAAGACACCTTATTGATTTTCTTTATGCTGCAAAGTTGTCTGAGAAGAATAGTTTAAATCTGAGTATCTCCATGTAAAAAGACCCAAGATACAAAATGCAGATCACTTATTTGAAAATACAGAAGACCCCCAGACCTTGTAATGCAGAAACAACTGTGTGAATGGGTATTAAGCATGCTATGCTTCTGTCAGTGAGCTGAGTAAGGGGTGCATCAACAGGTTTGTGCATGGTTAAAAACCCCCGTAACTCTATAGAGAAAAAAAAATAATGGAAAGAGCCATGAGCAGACAGTCCAGAGAAGTCACAATCGCAGCGGCACAGCTCATCATCAGCCCTTTCGCTCCCCAGGAAGATAACCCAAGACATCCCTTCAACAGGCTGTCAGGAGAAGGAGAGCACCCCCTGCCCTGACAGCGGTTGACAGTGGGCAACAGGCAGACACGCTCTTGGCTCCCAGTGAAGAGAAGTGTTTCATTAAAACAGAAGCAGCAAGGACCGTTTTGTTATTTCAATCATGTCAAAGTTGCTGTTGTGCTACAACCTGGGTTGTCATTTTCAATTCACACTACATTAAATGCTTCTTCCACTTAAATTTTCTTTTAAATGGTGCATTTTAGATCTCTTTAACCTACAGGAGAAAGAGCAAGCAAGTGAGAAATTATCTATCAGTCAACTATTTATAAAGGAAACAGAACAGCCTGGGGAGTTTATAGGGAAGACGACCTGGTCACTGTTCTTAGTGACTACCAAATTCCAACTTTCCTGGTCAAGAATATACCATGTGATTTAATAACAAAATAAAACTCAACTTTCACACAAAAGGCCCAAATGATTAGGAAATATCCAAAGCAAAAAGTGAGCTATGGTTACAGTAGGAGCACTTCAGAATTACACACAGGAAAACACATTCTTGCTTTTATTTTGGTGGAACAGAATACAATATCCTTCAGCCCAAACTATTCAAAGCTGGCAATATTACCTTTTTCTTCATGCTGCAAGACTTCAGGAAACAGAACAGGGACAGGAAGGGTTAGAAGTTAATTTTCTATTTAAGGCCGTTAATTCAGCAAGATATTTAAAAATGTACTCAACTTTAAGCATGAATAGTTGCATTGACTTCAGTAAGATTATTCACATGTAGTTAAGTCAGGCAAGTGCTTAAATGGCTTGTTGAATCAAGCCATTAATGAGAGCTGCTTCATTATACAGATTTATTTTAATGGCTGACAAGCTCATCAGATGAGCCTGTTTTATTCTTCCAAGGGCTAACAGCTGTTTCCTCACCAACTTCTCTGAAGGTGTAACCTGTATGCCTCCTACACTTTACTGTAGCCACAGAAACATATAATTTTCTAAGAAAAATTGTATGCAACATCTATTATATATAGTGGCTTAGCTCTCCCTTAAATAGTAACAGAAAAGAACAGTACAAAACAATAGTTTCACTTTTTCAACACACAAGAGCATCTTATTGAAAAACTAAAATAAAAAAGTATCACCACAATATAAATCCCCAAATAATAATAATGACATGGGAAGAAAGAAAAGGAGTTAGCAAAACGTCCTGGGGATTTTTAAAGTCTCTTATTACCGCATTAAAAAAAAGCTTTTCTGGTGAACCACAATGTTTTGTTTCTCTCTGTTTACAAACCCACTAGACAGGGAACAGCGGTGTCCACAACCTACGTCGGGATTAAAAGGTAGAAACACAATCTGCCCCATCTGCAGTCCAAAGAGAATGAACCCAGCAGGGCAGGCAGTGAGCGCAGGAGCTGGTGAGGACATGTTTCCCTGCAGGTGGCAGAAATTCATAAGGGGAGCAGGGGTTACGAAAGCAGAATTCGAGTTGGAACCGTGTTGGAAAGTTCTCTCGGAGGCCTGCAAGACATGAACTACTGAAGAAACAGTCAAAAGGTCCCAATGAGAAGCTGTAACAAGCTGTAATGTGCCATTTCAATTACAAGGAAGAGGGGAAATGTTTGGTTTTTGTTTGTTTTTTCTTTTTTTGGCTCATCAATATGATGAGCTTTCACATCCCAAACCACATTCAGGTAGTTTCCAAGTCTGCTTTTTTTGTGTGGAATCTACTGATCCAGACCAAAAAACCAAACAAACAGAACAGGGATGCACAGTTTTTAAGTCCTGGAGCCTTCAACACTGCCTGAAATAACAGCTGGCCTGGGGTATCCAGAGATGCCTGCAGGATGGTGTTCACAGCAGCCTTGCAAGCAGATCGGCTCACATCTGCTATGTGCTGCCAACGTTCTGCCCGTCACCTTCATCATTAGGACCTGAAACAAACAAAGCAGTTCTTTGTCATTAAAAATATCTTTTGTTCCTTGCCTTACAATACAAGGCTCTACCGAGAAGCCTACAGAAGTGTCACATTTAAGATTTCAATGATGTATGAGAACTGCAGAGTTCCCCGTCCCACTCCTTACAGCCTCCTTCTCCAGATTAAGTCCTGTCCACTGCACAGTTTTCAGTTCTTGACTAATTTGGTTAGCATCCCAGAGCCCAAAAGATCAGTTTCCAGCCTCATCCATCCACCCACTGCTTTTGTTCATATTCATTCCTTCTTTTTTGCCCTGCAGTGAATCTGGATGGAGGACTGGTCTCTGTCAAAGGTTGGATGTTCTAAAGCTCAGGTGAGTCCCAAGACTGGAGAGTACAGAAGGAAGCCTTCCTCAAACTGAGGACTAGTGCTTTTCTCCAAATAGTCTCCTCATGTACAA